CCTTTTGAGTGAATGGAGGTGGGCCAGGAAAGATGGGGTTCTAAAAGCCGAAAAGCTGCCTAGAGACTTGCAGACTCAGAGACACCCACGGGCATTTGCTGCAGTCGCCTCATTGCAGAGATGAGGGGGCTTGGCTGAGGCCGCAGTGGCAGATTAGCGCAGCCCATTTCCCTTTGTGTGACTTGGCAAAGACAAAAATTGCCTATGAGTTTTTTTCCAGTGGAAGAGAATCCCAGAGCGGTCCGAGTGGGTGAGGAGACTTGATAGAGCGATGTTGGGAAAAGTTCAGGAACTTGGAGGAGAACAGCAGGGGTGGGGGCAGCGCTCAGCGCCGAAGGACGGAGGGAGTGGGGCCGCCTCTGCCCCAACTTTGTTCTCTTCGTGTTGCGCCCGTATTTCAGCACTCTGGGGGGCTGTCCTGGGGGCCTCTCACTCGCAGCTTCCTCGAATGCGGACCAGGGCGGCTCTCCCAAGGCTCCCCTATTTGGCCGGCTCGGTCAGCTCGGCTGGCTGGGCCCCCGCTCGGGGCGGGGCCGGAGGAGCGCGGGGGTGGGAGTCCCGGAGGACGGTGCACCCAGCGGGTTGCGAGGCCCCGGGGCATGCGGGAGGCGGAGGGGTGGGGACCGGGGTGGGAACCGGGGTGGGGACCGGGGTGGGCTGCGCCCTCCCGCTCTGGCCCATCCACACCCCGCGGAAAGCGGACACTGTTAGCTGAATCACTCCCCCTTCAGGAGGAGGGAGGGGAAAAAGGTGTCTAGCCCCTTTCTGCTGAAAAAAGCACAGGGAGATCGCGGGCAGCTTTGCAGTCACTGCCTTCTCGCGCCTGGACCATGCACCCCTGCATCTTCCTGCTGGGCCTCAGGCGAGCACTTCACTTCTGGAGCTGAGGGTTGAAACTTTTTTGACTTTTCTTCTCCCCAACAACTGAATCATGCCATGTGCCCAGCGGAGCTGGCTTGCAAACCTTTCCATGGTGGCTCAGCTCCTCAACTTTGGGGCGCTTTGCCATGGGAGACAGCCTCAGCCAGGCCCGTTTAGCTTCCCGGACAGGAGGCAAGGTTAGTGACTTTTCTTAATTTCCTTTTAAAACGGTGGTGGTAAGACATGCAGGAACTTTGCTGCTCCCGTTTCCCTTCCCCCACCCGGCAGAACTGAACTCTGCAAAGCCATTTGGCTGCGTTATAAAAAAAATCTGGGCTGGGAGCTCAGGAACCTAGGCTTTCTCAGAATTCAGGGCTTCAGGTGATGAGTCCTTCATTCTTACAGAAAGGTGAGTACCTTGCTTTCTCTTTTACAGGGATGACACTGCGGTCTTTGAAAGACCCAAGAGGTAGCTGGTCACTTTTTCTCTTTTGTCTCCTGTTTGAATGCTGTACTGTTTCGATTCCCTTTCTTTCAGACTCTGAACATGGAAAATCATTATTTTTTTTAAAGTGCCAACTGGCTGCTGGCAGTCATAGCACTGTTTCTAGTTCGTTTTAAACTTCTGGTCAGGAAAGGGGAAATGTGATTCTGTCCCCCTGCTGAGCAGCTTTGGCTGTGTTTTGGTTTCCTGGAAAGATTTAGGGTTGTGTTTTTTTTTTTTTTTTTTTTTTTTTTTTTTTTTTTTGAGACGGAGTTTTGCTCTTGTTACCCAGGCTGGAGTGCAATGGCACAATCTCGGCTCACCACAACCTCCGCCTCCTGGGTTCAGGCAATTCCCCTGCCTCAGCCTCCTGAGTAGCTGGGATTACAGGCATGCGCCACCATGCCCAGCTAATTTTTTGTATTTTTAGTAGAGACGGGGTTTCACCATGTTGACCAGGATGGTCTTGATCTCTTGACCTCGTGATCCACCCGCCTCGGCCTCCCAAAGTGCTGGGATTACAGGCATGAGCCACCGCGCCCGGCCTAGGGTTGTGTTTTTAAAAGAACAGTCCTTTGGGGGAAATATACCTCGGGAAGGGCTCACTTTTTTCCTGTCCTGTCGCGCTGACCACAGCTGGCTGCTTCTATTTCTGATTTCTGAACTCGTGTTATTGTAAAAAGCATTGGAAGCGTTCTGGTGGACAATTTGTTGTTGTTTTTATTCTTTTAAGCCTAACACTCAGCCGTTTCTTGGACCTGGAAGGGTCAGAGACAGTTTCGTGTTTGGTGAGGGGTTCATTGTATCTCTGGGGGTAAACAGTCCTAGCAGCAGCAATGGCCCGCATGGCAATCTGTGTCAGCCCATCTGACCACTGGCAGTAGCCTTCCAGGGTGCAGGTCCCAGTGTTGCTGTCTCTGCTATACAGATGAGGAAGCTGCAGCTGGGGGAGCTTATGAACCCAGCTAATGTGGAGCAGGGTTTTGAGCCCAGGTAGCCTGACTCTTAGAATCATGCAGCACTGTCCTACAGCAATAATTGGGATATATGTGCATGCATGCACACATCCACATGTACACACACACACACACACACACACACACACGCACATGCACACAGAGCACTGGGTTGGCATTCACACAGTCCTGTGTTTGCTGACTGTGCTGAAGTCTCTGGAACTGTCCTCCGTGGCTTTCTGACATCCCTTTAATTCCCAAGGACACTTGAATGATAAACATCACCAGCCTATCCTTGTTTAGGATTTCTAATGAGGGTTTTCTGCCCATGTTGTAAAATTCAAACATTGCTGGAGAATTAATCTGCTGTGGCCTCAAGAAGTATCAGAAGCAAGTCCTTCTCTTTGCTTTACTTGGAAAGCTGGAGCCGGCAAGCACTGGGGTTAGATGTCAATCAGCCAGCACTCACTTGTGTAAACGGTCCAGATACAATCTCCCACTCCCAAGTTTAAAATAGCAGGGCTTGTTGTTCTTTGAAAAACAGTTCCTTTGTGAAAAGTCTCTCTTCTGGGGCAGCACAAACAAAGCCTGCAAACACTTCCCGGGGCATTGGGAGATGATTTGGTTCAAAGACACACATTCTCCTGGGATGGTTTTCAGCTCTGTTTGCGCTACATCTTCTTTGTAAGGGAATTCAGCTTGGTGTGAAGCAGACACCACGGGGCCATGGTTTTTGCTCTCTGGAAAGTGAGATATGATTATTTTCCCTAGTCACCTCTATGTAGAGCTATGCGCCGAGAGTATCCAATGCTCAAAAAAAACCTATAAAGTGCTCCAAGCTTATTGGTGGTATATATTTATTTAGGTTTAAAAATATTTTTTTTTTTTTTTTGAGATGAAGTTATTCTTTGTCTCCCAGGCTGGAGTGCAGTGGCTCCATCTTGGCTCACTGCAACCTCTACTTCTGGGGTTCAAGTGATTCTCCTGCCTCAGCCTCCTGAGTAGCTGGGATTACAGAGATGAGCCACCATGCCCAGCTAATTTTTGTATTTTTAGTAGAGATGGGGTTTCACCATGTTGCTCATCCCAGCACTTTTGGAGGTTGAGGCAGGCTGTGTCGAACTCCTGACCTCAGGTGATCTGCCTGCCTCAGCCTCCAAAAGTGCTGGGATTACAGGTGTGAACCACCACACCAGTAATTTCATTTTTAAAAGCACTTCACCAACCATAATCGATTCCCTAGTGGATTTACAAATAATTCACATTTGGTGCAACGGAGAAATTTCTAAGCAGACTTACATTTAGAATTAAGGGGAGTGGGAAAGAGGGAGGAAGGGATAGATGAGGGCAAACTAGTAGAGAAGAAAATTCTAAGGCTATTTGGGATTAGGATAGTCTGGGTTTTCCCTCCAAATGACCTACCTACAGCCTCACAAATAACCAATCTCCTTAGACTTCCATGTCCACTTTGATAACATTTTTGAATGCACGCAAATCCTGAACGTTTAAACTTGCAAATTATTTCAAAGATCATCTCATTCTTAGTTTTGAAAATTTTTATTTGTTTTTTTTATAGCGATGAGGTCTAGCTGTGTTGCCCAGACTGATCTTGAACTCCTGGCCTTGAGTGATCCTCCCACTTCGACCTCCCAAAATGCTAGGATTACAAGAATGAGCCACCATGCCTGGCCACCATTTTTACTTTTATGGATAAGAATGGGAGGTCTAGGGCATCAGTTAGTGAACATATATGATTGAGCACCTACTAAATGCCCCTTCACCAGGAGGATAAAGGGAATTGCACAGGGTTCCACAGTTGGAGACAGACTCAGACACTAAATAACGTTTTAGGTTCCTTCTAGTTCTAAGAGTTGAGCTAAGTCAGGGTTTTAGTCGTTGGAAGGAGTATGGAGATAAATCCAGTCCTTTCTGCGACTAGAAACATAGAAACAGGCTATTTGATTAACTCTGCCCTGTATTCTTTCCACATCGCTCGGTTGTGATGTAATAATGTGCTGTGACTTACTCAGGATTTCTTGGTTCACAACCAAGTATCAGAACAATGGGAAATATTAAGCTTGCACACAACATACTCCCTCTTTTCTACAGCCAATCGTATCCCCTTAGGTTTGTTTGCCCCTATGCTGTTTACAAAGCACCCGTCTGTTCCATGACCTCTTTTGCTCCTGACATCTCTGTGAAATCAACAGGACAGGCACTTTATTCCGTATTAGAGATGAACTCCAGTCTTGTGCAAGAAACAGATGGAATGTTGCAGTGTTTTCAGATAAGTGTTTTAATTATTTATGTATTCTATTTGCCAAAAGAAATTCTGCAAGGAGGAAATGATTTCACCTATTAATATAAGAAGAAAGTCCACAGATTTGATATTTTGTATTGGTTATAATAAGCTATATAGTTAGTGGATTAGTTATAACAGAGTTGGTGAACAAATCCATCCTTCTGTGGCATACTTCACAATTTTGAGGAGACCAACACAGTTCTTCACAACATTTCAACAACCTTTCAACATGTGTAAATTTCTGTAATAAAAATAGTGTTGCAAGGTTACAGTTATCTTACGTGGAAGATAACTATGAAAATAAACCTCTATTACAGGAATTTCATAACTTTTTTAGAAATGTGTGTTAGACATTCAGTTCTAAGATAGAAATAAATATAAAGAAAAAATACAGTTAATGTTCACGTTGGAAGCATATATGCTAACATCGGAGTGATACAGAGATTAGCATGGCCCTGTTCAAGGATGACATGCAAATCTGTGAAGCATTCCATTAAAAAGCATCTACCTCCTCCAATATATTAATATATTTAATAGATTTAAAATCGTACTTGACAAATAACATTCATTAGCTAAACACTAGCATTGTTGGTTTTAAGGGTAGAAACTCAGCTACCAGGGAGGTAGATATTATTATTATGCCCTTTGTATAGATGAGGTAGCTGAGCTTGGGTCACCAACACAAACCACACTTTGTAAGTGACTTCCGATTTCCATCCACAACTGTGGGCTGCCATGGCTTAGCTGCCTCCTATGCAATCAGATTAGGAGGGAAAACTGATCGTATTCCCCATTACTTTGCCTGAAAAGTACCATTGATTGCTAAGCAAATTGAGGTGTAAAGAGGTGAAGCACTTCTTGTCTGGTCAGATCACCGTCCCTAGGAGCAGTGTTATTAGCTCTAAGCTTACTATGCTCTCTGCCAAGAGCACCTGCTTTTCTTTCTTTCTTTTTTTTTTTTTTTGATGTTGAAACTATTTCTCTCTTTTTTTTTCCCGTTTATTTATTTTATTGCATTTTAGGTTTTGGGGTACATATGAAGAACATGCAAGATTGTTGCATAGGTACACACGTGGCAGTATGATTGCTGCCTTCCTCCCCATCACCTACATCTGGCATCTCTCCCCTTGCTATCTTTCCCCAGCTCCCCACCCCCCACCGACCCTCCCCTATTTCCCCCCAACTGACCCCAGTGTGTAGTGCTCCCCTCCCTGTGTCCATGTGTTCTCATTGTTCAACACCCGCCTATGAGTGAGAACATGCGGTGTTTGATCTTCTGCTCTTCTGTCAGTTTGCTGGGAATGATGGTTTCCAGTTTCATCCATGTCCCTACAAAGGACACAAACTCATTGTTTTTGATGGCTGCATAATATTCCATGGTGTATATGTGCCACAGTTTCCCTGTCCAGTCTATCATCGATGGGCATTTGGGTTGGTTTCAGGTCTTTGCTATTGTAAACAGTGCTGCAATGAACATTTGTGTGCACGTGTCCTTATAGTAGAACGATTTATAATCCTTTGGATATATACCCAGTGATGGGATTGCTGGGTCAAATGAAATTTCTATTTCTAGGTCCTTGAGGACTCGCCACCCTGTCTTCCACAATGGTTGAACTAATTTACACTCCCACCAACAGTGTAAAAGTGTTCCTATTTCTCCACATCCTCTCCAGCATCTGTTGTCTCCAGATTTTTTAATGATCGCCATTCTAACTGGCGTGAGATGGTATCTCAATGTTGTTTTGATTTGCATTTCTCTGATGAAGTGTGGTGTTTAGAGCATGGTTTTGAAATAGGAGGCACAGTGTTTCAATCCAAGGAATGTTGTGTAATGTGGCATAGTGACTTCCTACACTCAAGTTTCCTTACCTATGAAATGGCAATAACAACTGAATCTCTGCCACAGGGCTGTTGTGAGTATTGAATGAGGAAAGACTTATGGTACCTGACCCATAATAAGTGCTCGTGAAACACTATAATTATTATCATCATGTTATTCTACAGCCAATTTAGATTGGCTCTCTTAAAAATCCATTAGATCAAAAGCAACTGGGTCAAAATTTATAAATTGGTTTGCTCTTTTATTTTTTGAGCAATAGGTGTTAGGGCTTTGATAAGCTTTAGTCTTTCATTTTACAGTTTCAAGAATCATGTTTAAATCTGTGAGATGTATCTTCAGAAGTGGTTTCTGTAAGGGATATTTTAAGTTGGAAAGTGTATGGAGAAATATGTTTTCTGGATACATTGACATAACTCCTCGATTAAGCTTGCTTCCTTCGCACTCTTCCCATTGCAGTTCTTCTAACTCAGATCTGGGATTATTGCTTCTATCCGCTGGATGGCCTGGATGGCAGAATACTAGCCTGCCTTTTAAAGCTGCTTCCACCCTAGCCTGCTTTTCTCACACCCTTACCTCCTGATAACACTCCTGTGGATCCGTCACTCCAAACTCATTTCGCTTTTCTATTGCCCGAGAAGACCTTGAGCTCTACTCTAGCCTTCCTTCCGTATGTCCAGTGGTCTCAGTCAAGGGATGGCTCTTCCAAGGTGAATTCTTCCCTCAGGATGCACCCAGCTGTAATGGGCACAGCCAGCAGGGCGTCAAAAGCGACCAGTGTCAGACTGTCTTGTGTCATGGGGCACTGGCATGCCTTACTTACCTTGTCTACTGGATATTTTATATAGTTCTCTTACAAGCCAGCGCAGCACTCTCTCATTAAGTCCTTCTCACCTATTTATCTTTAATTGGGAAAAGCAACACAGGGACTACAAATTTCAAAAGGAAAAACCACACCCCAAATCTCATCATCATAAACATTTTCACTCTTACCCGTTATTTCAAAGGCCTTATTCATATGCATATATATTAATATATCTCACAGTTGCAATTATAGAAGAGATTATACTTCTGCAAAATTGCCACAATTATTTTGATATATCAACTTACATAAAAATTTAGAGTAATTTTTTAATAATGTAAGATTGATTGAGAATCATACTTGTTAGTTTCATGACAACCTAAATTTTATTATAGTAGTTTCCTGGGTATAACAAATAAGATATTTTCAACTCTTTTCAGAGTTGTTCAATAGGTTATATGCTCATCTGACTTGGAAGAGTGTAATATTTTATTCAGAATTCATTTTTTAAAATGTGGTTGCTTTTCATTTGTGCTCCCCTTAAATCAGTCAATCTGGCTTTTTGAAAAAGTAATCTGCTAGAAAAGATGCTTATTTTTCTGTTTTGACGAAGATGCAGAGACTTGCATGTCTAACAGGGTATTAAAATGGGACTCTTTCTTTGTCTCAGTTTCTGCCAAAATCTTAAGTCTGAGAAGAAAAAAAAAGGATAATAATTTTTCACACATATTTAAAGAGAAATTTCAGACTGTGTGTGGGATGTGCAGGGTGATGGTGTGATGCTAATTCCTTCACTCTCCCAGTATGCTCGAGAGGAGAGGCTTAAAGCCTGTGGAGAGATTTCAGAGACAGAATTTCTTCGGGAGAGATGAGAGTCCCAGGGCATTCATTCCCCTATAGTGCCCCAACTCAAGACACGTGAAGGGATGGTTAGAGGTCTCAGAGAGCTTGCTGTGGGCTTGGGGAACATGACCACTAACATTTTAGCCTTAAAATACTGATAGGCAAAAGACTGGCTGGAATGACATTTAGTGACAGGACTGACCAAGAGCATGGCCAAGAGTGGCCTGATTTTCATGACAGGGTGGGGGTGGAGGGACGGTCAGGTATGTGGTTCCTCTTAGAGCCAGATTTGGACCTCATGGGAGGCAACCAGATGTGGATCATCTTGAAAAGATGCCAAGGAGGATGCCCTGCAGGGCTAACATGGTTTCAGTAAAGTGGTAGAAGATGGGAAAGCAGTGGGTGGCCAGTTGGAGGAGGAATTGCTCACATTGAGGAACCTGAAGGGGGCAGAGGTCTCCTAATGCCTACAGAGCTTCTCTTAATAGAAGAGGTCAGTCTGCATGTGGACACTGGCTATATACAGGACACCATTGCTAGATGATACCATTGCTAGACCCAACTGAATAAGATATTTTCTGCCCCTAACTGCCTTCCCTGTTCTAGCCCTGGAAGAGCCAGAGGCATCACTGTGAGTAGCAGAGAAGAGCAGCCAGAGAGAAATACTACAGGAGCTGACTGCATCCACCTCCCCACCCACAGTTTCTCTTCCAAGTCTAGACTTGGAAGGTCCTCCCAATACTAATTGATGCAGACGTTTCTTAGGGAGTAAGTGGGCAGGAGAGAGGACTGAGTCAGTTATACACCTCAGTTCATGGCACACTAGTATCACGAATTTGTGAAAAAGCTTTTTTTATTATATATATTTATGCATTTTTGTTTCCACTCCCTACTCCCGTTCTTCCCCATGGAAAACCATTTTAATGGGTTCCATATGTATTTCTTGTTCTTGTGTGTTCTGGAAAACGTTGTATTATTGTTTCAGTGTGTGCACATTTTCCATGAATGTAAATAGCTCTGCATTAGCTTGTTTTATTTATTGTTTTTCATGGAGCATTGCTGTTAAGATTCGCCCATGTTGCTGTGTGGTCTGTGGTGCCTAGCTGCTGCACTTGGAAGTAATGTGTCCAGACTTTTTACACCTAAAAATGGAGACCATTTATTAGTACCTGAGAGTGGAAACTCTGTTCTGCCCCATATTTCATCCAAGGCAGAGAAGAATGATTCCACCTTGGAATCATTTTGGAGGTAGTTGTCTGGGAAGAAAAAAAAAAAAAGCTCTTTTATAATTGTATTCCATTAAGTCCAGTTATTTTAATTAACCAGCTACGATAGTGTTTACTGATACATCAATATATAAGAACTGAGCACCTGTGATGTACAAGATTTTGGCCTTCAAAGGATTTGGTGATAAATAATAAAAGGCAATATAAAATGAAGCCATTCTGGTAGGTACAGAAAGTAAGGGCATGAGGGTTCAGGGAAAGGAGAGAGAAGTTTAGCCAGGGACACTAGGAGAATGAAGAGGTAGGATTTGAGTGGAGATGTGAATGCTTAAACAGGATTTTGATAGAATGCAGAAGACATTGTAGTTGGGGAAGCTACATGAGCAAAGTAAAGCAACTTACAAAGTGCAAAATTACAACTGAGAGGTGACAAGTAGAAGGTTTTTTTTTTTTTTTTTTTTTTTTTTTTTTAGCAAAAGTTTAGTTTTTCTTACTAAATGGTTAATGGTTTTCTTTAAGAAGTCTGTAATCCAGAGTGATGATAAATTCCCTGCTAGGTAGATTCTTTGTTATTCTCAAAGAACAAAATAAGAAGGTAGTGGTAGAGAGACACATTTGAGTAGGTCCAAATGTGTAAGTGTTCTTGTGTTGGATCAAGCATTCCTGTCTTGCATTTTTAAAGTGGCAGTTTTTATATTTTGAGCCAATGCCTCAGATCCTGATATATGCCCTTATCAAATGCATTTTGTAAACATTTTTTTAAAAACCCTCTTCTTTTACACATTCTTTGTT